CGTGATCCTGCAGCGATACCCCTGCCTACCTGGGGAGACGTCATTCTGGTTATGAGACCCTGATGGGGATTATCACAGAGTTCACAAGCCTGCCCAAGCTTCAGCCGCACAACCTATTTGAGTTATTGTGAATTCTCTTGCTCTTTCTGAAGAAAAGACAAAATACCTATTTTGCTATAAACAGGGTGAAATGCTATAATATTCACACAAAGATACACCTTTGGAAAACTAAAAATGGAAAGGCACCTGGAACACTAAATCCTTGGATGATGGACCGTGTGTGTGTGTGTGTGTGTGTGTGTGTGTGTGTGTGTCCCTGGAAACTGAACTCAGGGTATCTCCTTGATCTGTAGCTTTAGAATTTTTCAAAAATTTATAGACAGACTCTTACTAAGTTGCTAAGATGCTTAGGCTGGGTTTGAACTTGCAGTGCTCCTGTCTCAGCCTTCCAGAATGCTGGACTTATATAAATGCACCACCATGACTGACTTGGAATTTTATTTTTTTTTTTTGGATTTTTATTTTAAGTCAAAACTTTCTACACTATAAAAATAAATTAAAACATCACTAAAAAAAAGAAAAGAAAATATCTTCACTCTAACACCTAACAGATGCACTTAAGTGCTCAGTACAACTGCTGTGTTTTTCACTTTCAGTACAATACCTAATATTGAGACATATAGACTATTGTAGAACAGGCTTTGTGATATTTGACTTTGCCCATCTGTAAGCAAGGTAAGTGTTCTGATAGCATACAGGTAGGCTAAGCTATGATACGATGTTTAGCAGGGTAAGTGTGTTAAGTGCACTTCTGACTTACGATGATTTCAATTTACCAAAGGTTCTATCAGGGCATAATTCCCAGCATAAGCCAAGCAGCATTGTATACAATAGTGTGCAAAATGATGTATTTATGTACATACACATGTATGCTTTCCCTTAATGTTGCAGCAGGGATATAGAGTTTTTTAAATCTTCTTTTTATATAATCTTTTTCTTTTGGGTACCAGGGATCAAACTCAGGACCTTACCCTTACCAGGCAGGCACTTATGTTGCTGAGCCATGTCTCTGGCCCTTTTTTAAAAAAATAATCTTTATAGCTCTCTTTTTATGGATGCATTATATTTTGCTGTAAAGATAAAACAAAACTTTCCTAACAAATTCTTTGTTTTTGTTCTTCAAATTAATGTCATTGAACAATATAAAGTATTTTGTTCATTTTCATTTTTATGTGAAATTTTAAGTCACAAAGAATGTAAATATTATGGCAATTTTAAGAAATTTATTGCTAAATTGATTCAATAATTAAAAGGTTGCAAACAGGAGTAATAATTTTTATTTTTGTATTATTTCATTTCTAAACCTTTCAATGAGAACATTTTAAATATTGTATTTTTTTTCAAAAAAATATCGAACATATACTGACATTCCTGTGTGCCAAACACTCAGCTTTGTCAGATCTCTTTCTTTTTTCCTTTTTTTCAAAATTGCGGGAATTTAGGGGCCAGGGAGATGGCTCAGTGGAATAAGTGCTTCCCTGGCAAGCGCAAAGTTCTAAGGTCAATCCCCAGTTCTGAAAAAAAAAATTACTAGAATTTATTTGCCTCAGGCTTATGACTTGCAGCTAAAGACACTATGCAAGGAAAGCAAAGATTAAGCACACTTTAGGGAGACAGAAACAATACACATTGGTGACATAGGAAATCAGGTGGATGAAAGATGCCGTCCAGTACACTATATGGATCTCAATATTCAATATCGTTTTCAAAACAAAAATTTAAAACCAAGAGTAAAAAAATTAAGCAATGTTTACAGTAGATATAAATCATATACAATTTAGTAGCATTTTTTAATTTTATTTATTTGTGTGTGTGTGTGTGTGTGTGTGTGTGTGTGTGGCCAGCTCAGCCCACCTGGGGGCGGGGCTGGCTGGCATGTGGTGCTGGGGGATTGAACCGCGGTCCCTGTGCTTTGTTAAGCTTGTTCTAAGTAGGTGCTTTAGACCACTGAGCCATCTCACCAGCCCAATCATATACAATTTAAAAAGCATTTT